CACCTCAACACGAAAAAGACATATAATACAATTCAAAAATGGGCAAGGAACATGAACAGACACTTCACTAAAGATAATATGCTGGTGGCCAACAAACACATGAGGAATTGCTCATGATCTTTAGTCATTAGAGAGATGCAAATCAAAACAATGATGAGATATCATCTCACCCCAGCAATAGTAGCAAAGTTCAACAGGATAGAAAATAACAAATGCTGGTGAGGCTGCAAAGAGATTGGAACTCTCAAATACTGCTGGTGGGACTGTAAAATGGTACAACCATTGTGGCCAATGGTATGGCGTTTCTTTAAAAAACTGAAAATAGAAATACCATTTGACCCAGCAATTCCATTACTAGGAATATATCCTAAACAGTTGAGAGAGGACACGAACAGACATATGCACATCTATGTTCATCGCAGTACAATTCACTATAGCAAAGAGATGGAAACAACCTAGATGCCCATCACCAGATGAATGGATAACCAAACTATTTTACATTCACACAATGGAATACTATGCTAATTAAAGAACAATGAAGGATACGTGAATCTTCTCACAATGTGGATAAACTTGGAGGACATGATGCTGAGTGAAATAAATCAATTGCAGAAGGACAAATATTTTATGAGCCCATTACTATAAAATGACATGGAAGGGTTTGCTTAAGGAAGGGAACTAACTTTGTAGGTTACTGGGGAGGGGAGGGGAGAGAAGGGGAGGGAATAATTTTGGGCTAGTTGGGGGCCACAAGCTGAAGTGGATAAGGGGAGAGATGGTATGCAAAGAGTCTGTGACCAGCTTGATAACAATGGGGAAAGGGAGGACACCAAATTGTGCACATAAGTTATAGACGACAGAGGCTAATACCAGTATATCCACAATCTTTCATTAACATTGACACCAAACACCAGGCTACAGATAAACACATAGACAGCTGAGAAGATTAGATGGGGGGGGGTCACTGAACTGGACCATACTCTAGACCAATGATAGATTCAGCTGAGGCTAATCTTGCACAGATACCAGTGATACAAAATACTCGCAATTCTTACAGAAACAACAGAAAACAAGAGAACACAGACATAGAGCAATACCTCACAGACATCCAGACACTGTGGGAGAGAGACTCAATGGATCTACCAATTCAGCACCATAGTACTGGGGGACACCAGACTCAATTGACACAACAAAATATATAAAAATCTTATTCCACAACTTACATTGGTGAGTAGCGACTCCAGTCTTAAACACTTTTGAGCAGCCATCTAAAATGCAGCTAATGGTCTCCTATCATCAGAAGTGAGGAAGAGTGCAAGAAACCAAGGGTATTTGGAAACAGTCAGCCCTAGGATATGATGGACCTTGAGACCAGAAGAAGTAGATGGTGCCTGGTGACCAATGCCAATCACTCAGGAAGGGATCAAAATTGGAGATCCAGGATAGAGTGAGGGGAAAAATGTGGAACAAAATCCAAAAACACAATAATGACCAGAATTAATGATCAGATGGATCTGGTGGGACCCCCAAGACTATGGCCCTGGGATACACTTCAGGCCTGGGATAAAACTCACTCCCAAAGGCTGGCTCTCAGCCGAACAGTAAATAATACATATATGCAGACCACTCAACCCAGGGCAATGCACCCACCTATTCTATGGACACACATCTCTTAGAGAAATTGGCCATGGGGCACCATAAAGGCAACATTTACACGAAGGAAAAGCAGGACACACAGGGTGCATAACCATGAAGAGCACGGGAGAGAGGGGTGGTTACTGGGAAGGGAGAGGTGGATAGTGGGTTAGGGCTGGGGATGGTAATTGGTGACTGAAACCAAATGTATATGAAATATTGAACTTAAAACAAATTCTGCTCTGTATATTTGCACTTAATGCACAATTAAAAAAAAAGAATTGGTTGATGTTCATCCATCTCAGGAGGTGGCATATGATC